TTTGTGAATACAAGATTTTTTTTTTTTTACCAGTTGGCCAATTCATCATTTTTTTGGCACATGAATTCATAATTGTCTAAAATTAGCTTTCACTTATTAATGTATTATGTGCGCGCGCGCGCACACACATATAAATAAAAGAAAGCTGCTTAATTTTGGGTCTCATGACTCACGACATGGCCACAGCGTATAAAAATAGTTTTTAAAATGACAAGTAGGATGATATCGCCATTCACCGCTACGGAATCAAGTTAGATCTGGGACCATGTGAACATAGAATAACTAAAAGACGAATTGGCCATTAAAATATAAATGATGATGACGATGGTTAGACAACTATGAGATAGTATACAATATTACCAAGAATTTGGAAGTACAAATTCTTTGTGGGGTTCATAACGTTTACCCAAAAAAAAAAAAAAGAGCATATTTGTATGAGCTTCTTGTGAGTTGTGATTGAAACATATGAATTTATTTATGAAATTAAGCCATTCAATGAACCATTATGATATAAGAAAAACACCAAATCACATCAAGATATATCAAAACTAAACAAGTATAGAATTTCAAACAAATTACTTTTTTTATTTCCCAATTTCAAACAAATTAGTTGCTTTCAGTGACGACAAAGAAGTTGCTTTGAAGAATAATATTGACTTTAGTACAATTTTGGAGAGAAAATTGTGACTCTTCCAGTAGACCAAAATATATGTACCCATCAAAGTTTTTAAGAAATAGAACATTTTAATATTTTTCTCATGAAGGCAAAAGTCCATAATTGCATGCTAGTACCTTTTTTCTTCCTTTTTGGCTTCCACAGTCATATGGTGGCGTCGGAGATGGATAAAAATTTGATACGGCATTTGAGATCATATAAGTTAATTAGAACTTGTAAATAACCCAGATTTTTTTTTTCTTTTTCCCTTAATGGAATACTATATGATCATCCAGGCTTGTTCCATATATAGCTAGACAAAAGGCCTAAAGTAACATTATCGATGAGGCTTAGTGATGGAAGCTGCTAACTGAAAAAAGTTGCAGTAAGTAGTCAAAGATATCCCCAGTTCTTATCATGTTTTTCTCGTAAGAGCTACTACAAGATGAAGAAGAGAATTACAGGATGTTCACATTAAGTTCCAAGAGAGTGAAGAAAGATACAAATGATCCACAAGAGATAATTTATAACATATAATACACATATTTAATGGAACTTGAGGCTGGTCAAGACATTGTTGTGCACAGGATCAGCCAAATGATCCAGAAGGTTCTGGTAGGGTCCAACACCAGTCACAAGACCTTGTACAAAGTATCCCAAGATAGCCAACATAGCCAACCTCCCATTCTTCACTTCCTTCAACTTCAAATCCTTCATTGACTTCTCATCCTTCCCAAACCCAAGAGGGTTAAAGAATGGGCCTCCAGGGTAAGCCGGGTCACCAGACCCTCCCAAGCCCTTTTCTAGGCCCAAGAAGTACTGCTTCCCCATTGACCCGGGCTTGGCCCAATCTTGGAATCTCCTGTGCTCTGCAAAGCCCATCAGTGCCATTTCTAGCACAAAGAGGGTGTATGGGTCAGCCCAGTAGTTGTAGGTTCCTGCTGGTGGGATCACTCCTGTTTTGAACCATGGAAGTGCTGTTTCCTGGGGGATTAGACCAGCCTTGCCTAGGATTTCAGGTGCTATGGCTCCTACTGCACCCAACATTGCATAACGTCCGTTGATGATTTCACCATATGCTAGCCATCTGGGTTCAATGAACCCTCCAGGTCCCTCTGGGTCTGAGAGTCCTAGTGGGTCAAATCCATAGTCACCTGGAAGACTGAAATTGATACAGCCCAGCAAAGTCAAGTCAATTCCAACAACTTTAGTCATATCTAATGTGAAACCAGGTTTTAAAGATATATTTTATCTAAGTTTAATAATCTCTAATCTCCCAGAGTCCGGTCCTTGAGAGTATGTGTTTTGTTCCATCTTGTTCTTATGTAAACTCTTCTTAACTATAATCAATAGACAGAGCCTAAGTTGAATCATGAATCGTGTGGTGATCCACATCATCTGTTCTCTTTTTATTATGTTCACATATATATACATAGAAGATTTGAACTTATGATTATGTGCTGACGTCATTTCTATTGATTAATGTCTCAGTTCATTACCTGCTATCTATTTCTATTGTTTTACGAACAGCTAAAAGCAAAACTCAGACTTGTTATTAGGTTTTTTACCATCAGAAAACATCAATCGAGACACTGGCATGAAGTTTTTACCTGCCATCCAAGTAAGAAAGACTCTGTTTGGATGCAAACCACAAGGGTCTATCTGCTCCTTGCTGAACACAAAAAAACAAACAACCAGAACAGAGAAGACCTTTTCAGTATCCATCCACATATAGCTCAAAACCACTCACACACGCATAAACACAAACACAGAGAGAGCAAGAAAGTGAACAATCGAGATCATATACAGACCTTGACAGGAGGTGTAGCAGATGCCTTCACTACAAAAGAAGTCTTTCTAGAAGACCCACTTGGATACTGGGTTGATCTCCCTCCCAGAATCTGCCTCGCAGCCTGCACCGACGAGGTGAGAGATGATGAAGACACCAAAGCCTGTGTCGCCATTAACAGAGGGAGAGACCGGGGGGCCGGGGGGGGGGAGTTTTATGGTGTAGTTTTAGAATGTGGTAAAGGGTTAAGAAGTTGAGATGATATCTATGGCGGTGGAGGCACCAATAAGCCAAGCAAGGAAGATATCGGAAGAAGATAATCCACTACTTGCGATTTCATGCAGGAACATTGGAAGCGAACTCATGGTGGAAAATGAAGAGAGGTGGGCCCTGTTGGGAGCTTCAGATGAGGATTGTATCTGCTTCTCCAACGAACATTGTACACGTGGCATGGTGAATTGGATAATAGATATGATTTTTTTGCCCCTTCCTCTTGCTGCATTCCGTTGTTGTTGCTCACATGAGCTCCCGTCCACGTACCACCTTATGGAAATTTTTTCGTGAACTTCTGCAGTCATTTACCCAGATAAATTCCAATGATGGTGATGATGCAGAACCATTTTGTGTTTTGAATGGGATTCCTAATCAATTAACAGAAAAAAAACTATATATTATTCTTATAATTTTTATCAAGTTTTTTATTCATTATAATAAGCATATACTTTATTAAAGTTAAATTTTATAAAGTCTACATATCTATAAAATTTCATTACTCCCCGTGTCTCATGGGAAATATTTTTTATAGTCGGTGAAACATACTCCTTATCCTTACTAAAAAAAATTATCATATACATAAATGTCAAAAATCTTTATTAATAAGTAATGAATAATAACAATAATAATTTATATTGAATTTCGTGCAGGTATTATTTTGGATAAATTAGGCCAAAAAAATCTTCTACCTAAAAAATATAGATTAAATTTTTAAAAATTTGAAAATATGGCTGATTTACATTAATATATAAAATATTTATTATTAAAAATTTAAAAATTTACAAGAAGTTTATCATTAATATACAAGGATATATTAGTAATAAATATAATAAATCAATCATAATGCAAAATATAATAAATATTAGACTATTTGTTTGGTTTGGACCTATAACTTACATTGCAAAAGCCCCTATTATTTTTAATATAATTTTGTCTCTTTTTTAATGTCTTTTTCAACATTTTAATTTTCTTCAAAGTAATGTATCCTTCAATCAAAATTTTTATTAAATTAATATATATAGCTACTTTGCATGAGGAAAAAAAATCTAATCTAGTTTCATTATAAGTCATGTCTATTTTTTTTAATACTTACATTACAAAACTTCTAAATTTTCTAAAGACGTGTAAAATCTTTTTCATTTTTTCTCAATCTCTCACTAATGCCAAAATCAACTAGATCAAACTTACATTTGATCTAGTGCCAACGATTATTTTTATTTTCAAACTTTTTTGCATAGAATTTGTAAGCATTTTGAACTTAATTTTGAATCATTTTATCCTCAAACTTTTAAAATTCGACACCTTATTATCCTATCATTCACATGTCACTTGTTGATTGTTATCTGCTTGTTGATCGTTAGCCACATGGCATTCAAGTGGATATACTTTAGGACATTTTTTATTAGGGTTTTTAAAGCTTAAGTGGAAATTGATTCAAAAAATCAAGTTCAAAACAATATGTATAAAGGCAAAAGTAACTATATTAAATTCTAATACATCCACTTGGATGCCGTGTGGTCCAAAAAAGTCAACAAAACACATTTAGCTTAATAGATAATTGTCAACAAATAACGTGTGAATAATAAAATAATGAGACGTCAAATTTTAAGAGTTTAAAATAAAAATGATCTAAAATTAAATTCATAAGTAGATTCTAGCAAAAAGTGCAAAGACAAAAATAACCATTAACCTATTAATCAAATGTGTTATCATCTTATCAATAAATTATTAGCAAAAAATATAAAGTTAATAAAAAGCTGTATTATTCACATAGTTCAATTTTTCATCCTCTAACTTTTTCTTCACTCATTTTTTCTTGTATTCCTTCATTTTTTATACATCTCAAAATAGTTTAAATATTTAAAAAAAACATAAATTTTTAAAATTTTTAAAATTATCTATAGTATTCCTCATGGGGATATTTTTTGAACCTTGGCTTCCTCTTTCCTAGCCTCTATGCAACTGGGGCAACCAACAAGAAAACTTTCTCGTCATAACTTATAACAAGATAATTGTAATCCTCAACAATAATACATGATATATCTTAGAATAAATAACCCAAGAAGATACTACTATAATAGTACATTCTTCAGTTCCTCTTTATTTTCTTTTCCTGTCTTCCTAAGTATGTATTATACATATATTTAATGAAAACAAAAGATTTGCATATATTACCAAATATGTGAAAACTAAATGTGCCTGAACGCCTAATATCATTTGGGGGGGGGGGGGGGAAGATCCAAGAAGAACGAAGCTCGAATGCTATACACAAAATTTCTCAACATTTACATTTTTTTTTTTGGGGCCTGACACAACATTTACATTGAATCTTTCACAATTGTGGAAAGCTAGCTGAACTTCAGATGAAGATCTTTCAATTCAAATTCCTTACCAAGAAATGTTATTTCTTGTCTGTATTTACAGCCTCGTGCTTGGTGAGAACAGCCAAACGCTTGGTGAGAACATAGTAGTCTTTTATGACAATGGCGTTCCTATAATAGTTTGAGATCCTTTCTGTCGTTTCAAACCCAAGTTTCTTATAAAAGTTTATGGCGTCTTCATTGTCTGTGTGAACATGCAAGTAAACCTCAGACATGTTCTCCTTGGAGGACAAATCAAGCATATGATTCATCAGCCTTGTTCCTGCATATATGCACACCAATATTTACATCGATCATATCAGAACCAGTGATCAGCAAACACTTGCAAATTATTCATGGTAATGAATAAAGTTAGATGTATGTCCATGTGTTTTCTTATTTTACAAAATATACACCGATCATCTGTTTTTAGAAGGCCTGTATTCTGACTAGTATGCATACTAAGAACACAATTCAACTAATTAACAACTGTTAATTCGATCTGCAGTAATTATATGGTTGTATATTTGCCTTTTGGAGAGAAAAGAAGGACACAAAATATGTATGGCTGTGTGGGATCAACTTCTTTTCTTTAAACTTAACTTTCTTTATCGATTTCCATATGAATGTGCTATATATTCCGATCATATTAATGATTACAGATAATCCAAATCGTAACAAATGGCAATATGAAAAGAGTTTTAAGTTCTTACTTACCAACACCAAGGCGGCGATAAGGTTCTAAAACACCTAAAGTCATGATATAGAGCCTAACTGCACCATCTTCCTTCCTCTCACGATGGCATGAAATTGCACCAACACAAGTATCACTGTGATAAGCTGAAAGAAACAAACATGACAACTAACATGAAGGGTACGGCTAATAAATGTGTCTTCGTGATGAATGTGAGGCAACGATCGGCATGAATTTGGATTTTTGACACATGAAAGAAGCATAGAACCGTAGTATATGTACGTACGTCTTGCAGCAAACATCTAAAGTAAACTTCAGCCTTCATGAAATATTCAATCACTGGAATGTAATTTAAATGGATGGCTACCCACAAAAAAATGCAGAGCATGTTTATGGTCTGAATTTCTAATAGGCTGCACCAAGGAAAGAGAAAAAAGAAAGAACAAATTGTTTAGAAGACATCCTGCGTTGTATATAATATAACCAAGTTCATAAAATAAGTCATAACATAATCTACGAAGAATTCAAGTGCGAGCTTAAACGCCTTTAATGGAATAATGAAAAGATACAGATGTGGACAATATTCAAAAGACAAAAATCAATGGTTTAAAAAAAAAAAATGAAAGAGGGAGCTTCCCATGATTTAGCATAATAAAAGCTGAAAAACTCTGTCAATGTATTGAAACAAAATCCAAAAATCTTTAGAGAAACTATTGATAAAATCCCATTTTACCCCATACGAAGATGTAATAACACGGAAAAAATGAAAAGAGATGCAATAACAACCTAGAGGAACAAGGAAGATCAATCACATGCTGAATGCCGAAACCAAATTAACCCTTCAGAATTTTCTTCTCAATTCATGAAAATCCAAAGATTAAAATGAACGTTACGGGTGTTGAAAAACTTAACCCTTCAGAAATTCGAGCTGAGGCAAACAAAAGAAAGGATAGAAAAGAATGATTGATTTTAAACCAGTCAAAATCAGAGGACCGAACCTAGTTTTGTTAGTTCGCCAGAAGCAACGACATCAGCATAGTATTTCTCATCGAAATGAACAGAGAAAAGAATATTGTTGAGCATCTTCAGCTGCGTTAGGTTCTCATCTATCACGTTAACGAGAGAGACTGAGATTTCTTGGCCAGCAAACATTCTAGAAAAGAACGATAAGAATGTCACAAGACAAAATTAAGACCATAGTTCACGTAATAAATTATGTGTTGAAAAAGGAGGCCCCAATTTCACTCACTATTGGCAAAACCAACCCACATTCTTTCACCACTATTCGCATTTCATTCTCTCCTCCTAACTTCACAAAATTAAACCAACCGACATATAAAATTGTGATACTCTTCTTCAAGTCCCATGGAAAGAAAACATAACAAGAGAAAATGCGAGATTTACCCGTTAAAGTGAGAAGAAAATCGAACAGACGAGAAGACAGGAGGCAAAATTTACCTGAGAAAAGTAGAGGGAAAAGAAGAAAGAAAGAAAGAAAAGCACGCTTGATTGGAGAGATTCTTTCTTCGCTAGCAACAGAGGAGTTTGCAATGGCGGGTAGAGAAGTAGGGAATGGAAAGTTTACATGGCGGTTATGGCGAGTCTTGAATAATAGTTAATGACTTTTTTCCTGCTTTTTTTAGCCCAAATAAAAAAAAATTTTGTTCTTGATTTCTTACGTAGAGTGTCCAAATTCACGGAGATGAAAAATTAATAAATTATTGCCTTTTTGTTTAGCTAAAATTGGGTACAATATAAATTTTTTTCTCAATTAAAACGGTCTTGTATTTACTGTAGCTATATTGTACAGATCAGATAAGCCACGTTATTATTAGTTTTATAATTTATAAAAAGTATAAATTAATTAATTTTATACTATATACTCCGTTAAAAAATATAAAATATTTTTAATTTTTTAAAATATAATTATTATTTTTTTTAAAAGTGCCGTTATTGAATAAATCATTTTATAGTTATTTTAATATAAAAAATAAGATTAATTTGAAGAAAAATAAATATTTGATTGGAGTAAAATTTAATTAAAAATATTTTATATTTTTAAATGGGAGGAGAATAAAATATTTTTGTGTAAATGTGTTTTCAATGTGGTAAATATGATCATTGCAAAGAAGAATGCTCATTCAGTTCCCATGTGAGCTCTTCCTTAGTAAATTTGATCTTCTTCTTCCCCTCCTCAATAGTTGGTGGTTCATGCTCCAAGTCATTTTATAAAGTTCATGTTGAAGATGAATAAGGGTAATGGATGATTTTCAAACGTAATCCTCATAACAATATTAGAAATAATGAAATTTTTAATTCTTCAAACATTTTTTAAATTTATCATATTAATCATTTAAATTTTACAATTAAATTTATTTTTAAATTAATCTCGTGTGTAAAGTAAATTTCTCAATATAACCTTTACACCGCAATTTATTCTTTTGCTTTTTTGAATATGTTTATTACATAAATAATTACACTGCGTTTCATTAATCCATGTGATTACCATCATGTGGTAATGTGATTTTTTATTTACAAGATCATGGAATTTTGGCAATAAATGTCGAGTTTCTCTTAGAATAACTTCAATAATCAACCAGTTTAAATCAATAACTTGAATGGATCCTCTTTAGTTAATCAATCAGGATCTCTTGAATCAATTTGCATGCATATGTACATGATAGGATACAGGCAAGCATAAGCCTATGATAGTCAATCTAGCTAGTAACTATTTAATAGTCAATTTAAATTGCCAAGTTGATCGTGCAAGTTGAACATGTGATGCTCTCCTCCTTGATGCTTATACATAGGGGTGTTCAATCTGAACTCGTTTCGATTGACCCGGTATCGTTCCGATCATATCGGGACGGGTCTTGTCTCGGCCTGAAAATAATTGAGATGGAATTTTACGGGAAGGGACAGAAAAGGGGTTCGAGACGGGACGGGACACGGGATTACCATCGGGACGTCCCGTCCCGTCCTGAATATTATATATATTATTTTTTATTTTAAATATATTAATTATATTAATATAATTTATACTTATATTAATTATATCAATTATAATTTTAATACTTACAATTCTTATTTAAAATTAAAGTATTTTTATATTGATAATTTTAATAATATGGACTAAACATGACGATATCTTTTTTATAATATATTAATTATATTAATATAATTTATTCTTATATCTATCTATTTAATAACTTTTATTTATAACCTATTTCTTGCTTATTTTTAAAAGAGTAATTAACTTAGTACATTTTCACTAAAGTAGAAGAACAATTATTTGATGTTGTGTTTGACTTGCCTGTTGTTGCTAATCTTATAGCATAAAGATTACTTGTATTTTTTATTATAATATGTAGTTGTGATTAATATAATTCAATAATTAATTTTAAATTATTGTTATTTATGTACTTGTGTTATTTTGATTTTAAATTTAATAAATTATATAATTTAAAATTTTAATGAACATTATTATCCAGATCTTTTTTCGATATTATTTCATTTATCGGGACGGCAGGACGTCCCGATCTTGTCCCGGTCCCGTCCCGACTCTTAACGGGACGGGACGACTTTCGGGACGGAACGGGACACGGAATCAAGATTTAGTCCCGATCTTTTTTTCGGGACGGAACACGGGACGGGGGTATCCCAGTCCTGTCCCGTCCCGTGAATACCCCTACTTATACACCCAAATGAAGCATACATAAAATCTTTTGAGGGCACATTCAATCCTCATTAGGGGTGATGACTCCTGAACTAATTTGAACAGTACAAATTTAATATGAATGGTCTAGATTAAACTACTTTTTTTAAATAAAAATTTATAAAATTATAAATAAATATATTTATTATTAACATGTACCATTTATATTTAATTAGATCAATCAAAATTTAATATTAATTTTTTTATAATTTTTATAAATTGACGATACAAATTTACTTTGAACTATTTTGAATCTGACAGTAAAACAAGTTAAAAATTTTGAATCTAAACAGTATAAATTAAATTTGTATGATCAATTTATAAAAAATTATAAAAAATTAATATTAAATTTAGACTCATCTGATTAAATATGAATGATACATATTAATAATAAATATATTAATTTAAAATTTTATAAGTTTTTATTTAAAAAATAAAAAAAATAAAAAGAGTTATTTAATTTGGACGTTCCAAATTAGTTCAGGGATGGTGCCCATCACCGAATGTGCTCCCAAATCTTTTTACTAGAATATTGAAGAACCATTTTCTTTCATGGGACTTGGAGCAAAGGGAGAAGACTAAGGGAGATCATGAGCTTCCAAATTTTTAATGTTTTTAGTATTATATGGATATTATATATTTTAACCCTTTCAAAATTTATGAAAATTTTATAATATATATGTTTTTAATCTTGGCCTCCCTCATTGTTAAATTTCTTGACTCTATCATTGAGTCTTGTGAGAGAAGATAGAAAGGGAAAGAGAAAGGGAGATGAGGGACTTGTAGGTCTTACTTGTATGAGACCCATCAAAGACACCACTAGGCATTAACGTAACCAACGAAACTTTCACCCACGTCTCTCAAATTTCAATTGCTCATCTTGTTCTCAAATCTTGATGCCAATCTTAGAGCACCCTCATTTTCTACATCTTCATATATTTACTCTCACCTTTTTGGGAAAGTGCCAGATATAAAGAGAATAGGTTTTTTTTTTTTTAACGGTCGCATTTCCATCTCTATTACTTGAACTAATTTTTAAAAATTTAACTTATTTTGAATATGATTACTTTTAATAAAAGGATAACATATACAATAAAAAAGCTTAAAGCATACGTTTGATTGTATAATTTTATGTAAAATTTTAATATATTTTTTAAATTTTATAAAATATTTTTTTAGTTCTTCAATCTTAACATTGCTAATTTAAGATGGTTATTTTTTATGATAATTATTGTTATTTTTTAAAAATTAAATTTAATATATCAGCGTTTGAGAATATTTTAATGTTCAATGTAAAAATGATGTCAAGGTTAAAGGATAAAAATATACTTTATAAAATTATGAGACTAAAATGAAAAGAACTTTTTTCTTTCTCAAAAAAAAAATTTAAATCAATATAATTGATCACCATCACCATGTCAATATAAAACCTGAAATGCAATATTCATTTCATATCAAATATAGATTTAATAATTAATATTAATATTAACTTGTATTTATATAAAATTTCGTATAATGCAATAGAGATCCATGGTTAATCTATGGCGATGACAATATATATAAATCGGTGGGTACCATCGATTTTGATTTGAGGGCTGTTTTTTATATTTTTTCAATCTTTTTTGGCGACTACATTGTTTAAATTTTGTATAATTTACATATGTGTAATATTTTATTAACTTAATGTGGAAAAAAAATATATTTTATTAACTTAAAAAAAAGTTATTTCGCCAGCTTTCTCCGATGAAGCAAAAACCGCTGCCGCTGCTAGAAAAAAACACACAGTATTTATTTAGTCAAATGAAATGTTTTGCCTTATATAATATTTTATCATCCGCCCTTCCACGTTATCGTTATTCAAATCTCTTTATCTTCCCTTGTCGTTTCTTGTAAATCGCTGGTCAATCACTCTTCCTCCTTCTTCCTCTACAACTCTGCAATCCAATCTCATTCCCTTGCAATGCCTTCTTCCTGCATTGCTCCTTCTGCTCAGTCCGTCTTCTATCCCATTCCCTTCACTTCTTCCTCCGCATTTCCCTCTTCTCACAGACTGAAATCTCGAATTCTAACCAAAACTGTGCCTTCTTCTCTGAGATCACCTAGTAGAGTAGGACTAATGGTAAGAGCCGCTGTCTCCATCGAGAAGGAGACGCCTGAATCTGAACGTCCAGAAACTTTTCTCAGAAAATCTGACGGTCATGATCACTCCGCTTCTTCCTCTTCTTCTGTCAGGGCTCGCTTTGAGAAGATGATAAGGGAGGTTCAGGACAGCGTGTGCAGTGCACTTGAAGCTGTCGATGGTGGAGCCAAATTTAAGGAGGATGTTTGGTCTCGGCCCGGTGGCGGCGGCGGAATCAGTAGGGTTCTTCAAGATGGAGCCGTTTTTGAGAAGGCTGGGGTTAATGTGTCTGTTGTTTATGGTATGATGCCGCCTGAGGCTTATCGTGCTGCCAAAGCTGCTCCAGCTGATCAGAAACCTGGTCCGGTTCCTTTTTTCGCGGCTGGAATCAGCTCGGTGAGTTTGAATTGAATTATTGGACACTTTTAATTGAGATTTTATAAACCCTAATCCCTGATTATGGCTAAGTGTTTGGATATAATGTGCTTTCTCAACGGTACTCAGTGGAACGTTGAGATTCTGAGATTTGAGAAAACATTTGATAATGGATGTGCATTGTTTTTCTCTTCTATTGGATGCAAGATTCACTTCCAATTGTTATCTAATAAGTCTGCTCTTCGTCCCTGTATTTTTTCCTATTCAGGTTTTACACCCGAAGAACCCATTTGCCCCAACATTGCATTTCAATTATCGGTATTTTGAAACCGATGCTCCCAAAGGTATGTTATGGCCCCCTTCTCTTTTCTTTTTTCTGTTTCATTTTACAACACCTTAACATTCATCCAGAAACTACATTAGCTGTGTGGCATTAGCTTAGCCATTAGTTTTTGCTTGCACGCTGGCGCTTTAGCCTGTGGCAAACGTAAGGCTTCCAGAACATATCTTTTTCTTTCTTTCTTTCTTGGGGCATTGGCTCTAGAGATACTTGTTGTGGTGGTAACACATTTCACATTTTAGGAGAGTCCGATGTAGATTGTCTAAGCTTATGTATGATTTACTAACTCAACCTGAAAATTAGTACGTCGAGGCCCCTCTAGTTCTCCCCTGGCATGTGGCTAACCATGCAGGAGTTCTCCATGTTTAGGAGTTTGTTACAATGAGGAGAAGGGAATGGAGGATTTTCAATTAACATTTGGAAGTCCTCCATATTCCTTGCTCCTGTGTGGTCATGTATATTCCGTCTGTAGCATCAGAAATCACTTGTTTGACAGTTCCCATGATTGACAAATATGAAAAGAAGGAAATTTTCAATTTTATGTAGTCCCCAAGTATGCGTCTGCTGCAAATGTCATATTTATGCATTGGAATTGCTGTTAAATTTAGGTCTCCATAATGATCATACTGTTGCATCCTATTGCAGATGCTCCTGGAGCACCAAGACAATGGTGGTTTGGTGGTGGAACTGACTTGACTCCTTCTTATATTTTTGAGGAGGATGTCAAGCATTTCCATTCGGTATGTGTTTAACACACTATATTGGTTTCTGACTTTTTTTTTTTTTTTTTGCGTGTGTGAATAACTTATCCTTCTCGTTAAATGAGTAATTTGAATTTAGTGTTGTATTTTTAGGGTCCAGTGATTTTTTTTTTTAAAAAATTAACTTATTAGCTTGGATTCACGTAAAATAGGAGGAGGTGAAATGTTCAATACAGGATTTAATTTCTGGGAATATATCTGAAAAAGTGTTTCCGTCTAACAGTTCTGCAAACAGGTCATGCATATATTTATTTTATCTTGATTATTATCTAAAACATGGGAAGAGAAATAATTTCATTGGACTTCTTGAAACTTCTATGTTTTTTTCCCGGAAACTTGAGTGGTTAATTTTTCACCTCTACCTTTTTTTCTCTCCACTAGACTACGCAAGTGACTTTATGGCATTCTTTCAGTAAAATAGAACTATATCCTTGGAATATTGATATGCTGTTTTAATTCTTTCAAGGCAATAAAAGGCTAAGCTTTCACTTAGTATACCTCTATCCCGCTTCTGTTGTAGATTCAAAAACGTGCTTGTGACAAGTTTGATCCTACTTTCTATCCCCGATTCAAGAAATGGTGTGATGATTACTTTTATATCAAGGTAAAATTCTGTATTCTTTTCCTTGATATTGTAGCTTTTACTGCAATATTTGTTCATACTCCATAGTCTTGCATCCTGTTCAATGACCAGAAACTTAGCAGTTAACGCTAGAAATCAAGTACTTAGCTTTTAGAAAAGGAATACATGTGGACTTGCTAATTTAGTCTATATGCTATAGTTTGGAAAACTTCATATATCTTCAAGAAACAGTTTGGTGATTGTGGGAATTCTATTGCTGTTATTGCTTGATGAAGTCAATCTGGATGATAATGAAATACAGTAGTAAGTAGACAAGGGAGGATCGGTTTGAGCTGGATAATATTCATAATTGACAGCATTGGCAAGGTGGAACAGGGTGTGTCAAGATGGTGGAGTGATAGTAGCAGTGGTAATGGATCAGTGATACTGATGTCTCTTCTAGGTCAATGGCAAAATTCCATGGTGGTTGATTGTTGAGGAGACAAATGGTGATGAGAGACAAAAACTAATGAGAGTTGATGGTACTTGGCAGTAGTTGTATAATGGCTGTTCTGGTCTAGTTGGAAAAATGTAATGTAGATGAATGGTGGAAGTTGTCTTGGCGGTAGTTGCATGAGGAAAATGATACAAAATGAAGGTGAGCTAATGATTGACATTGATGGATTCAGTGTAAGTTGGTTATATCATTTGCTGAATGTTTTCAGCAATGAGTCATTCATTCTCTTTTGCTTTTCCTTTTCTCAATCCGGAGCTGAATTTTGAATATAAGCACGCTACAAAAATATTATTGCAATGAGAGTTATTAAGGGCTTACTAGCAATTCCCCATTGCTGAAAATCTCTTGCGTCATTGTTGATGAAAGTTCCAAAATAGGTCCTGATTATGACTAAACTAGTTTATTTATTATCTTATCACCAAAAATGTGGTTGATTGCATTCTAGATGCACTCATAATAGACTTCATAAACTTGAGGGGCTGAAGCGTGTTGCTCTATATGCTTAATTTATTTTATACTTTGTATTTTAAATTTGTAGTAAACTTTAATCATGAGATTTTCTGTCAAGTGTTTGCTTCATACATGCCACGTGCAAAATATGCACGTCAAATGCTATTTTTAATATCAGTTTCCAGGCTTTTTATTATTGGAAAAACTTCTCTTCAGTTTCTTATGTTTTTGTTATGTTCTCAAATTATAACTGAATTGAGATTATTGAGATGGATGTCAGTTTCACTTTCAAAAATTCACGGTGCATTCACTATAAACTAGACGGGGTTAAAGAAAAATTTATTTTTAGTGTTCTTAATGCTCCATTTACCAAAGAAAATTAAAGAGAGAGAATATAATAAAATTGTAATATTAAAAAAATCATTAATAAAACTTCATTTTTATTAAAATATCTTATGTTTTGGGGTGTTGAATTTTTCTCAAATATATTTTATAGATTGGGATAGAGGGTTTACTTCATGATTTGCAAGCAGAGTTATAAATTATATTCTTACCAACGCATACAATTATGAGTTTTTTTTGTGTTATAATAATTATAAAAAAACATATAATAAAACATTAAATAATCTTTTATATTGTAAAAAAAAACAGTATTTTCACTGCATAAGGAACAGTAATTTTAATGCAATTTACAAAAGGTAAGATAATTGGGTTTATCAAATTACAAGTGTGGCAAATACTTCTTGTGACTGCTTACCTTTTTCTGTTGTTATGCTGCCTTCAGCATCGGAACGAGAGGAGAGGGCTTGGAGGAATATTTTTTGATGATCTGAATAACTATGATCAGGAGATGCTACTCTCCTTTGCCACTGGTAATTGCTAGCGCTATTGCATTTATGAACTGACGTTTCTCATCAGGAAGACATCTGACATTTACTCTCTCATGCTTGCCTAAACCATGGTGCAGAATGTGCCAATTCTGTCATTCCTGCTTATGTACCCATAGTAGAGAAAAGGAAGGATACGGCTTTTACAGATGAGCAAAAAGCATGGCAACAATTGCGAAGGGGACGTTATGTTGAATTCAATTTGGTATCAAACCTGGCTCTGGGATGATAAATGCGTGGTTCTGTTCTTTGTTTTTCTACTAGACATGACCTTAGTGTTCCTACTAATCAATGACAGGTTTACGATCGGGGTACAACATTTGGACTAAAAACAGGAGGGAGAATAGAGAGTATTCTTGTTTCTCTTCCACTAACTGCTCGTTGGGAATATGATCATGTAAGTTTTGGTATTCTTTGTGGGAGCATTAAAATACTACTTTGATATTTGGAGCCTCTTACTGAAATGATGGTGCCATTTTGTTTTCAGAAACCTGAGGAAGGAAGCGAGGAATGGAAGCTTTTAGATGCTTGCATCAACCCAAAGGAATGGATCTAATTTTTTAGCTGCCCCCTAGCTTCCCTTTGCTTTTTATGTTTCAACTATACGAGAGCGTGTTCCACTTCTGATATTTTTTGGTGTATCGTATTGTATAGTTGATTATGTTATGAACTTATGATAGCTGAGAAGGCTATATCTAGAGAGTGATACCCTGAGAAGATAAATAAAATAATCATCTAAGCTACCATTTAGTGCCAGTCAATGCCTCTGTTATCTTCAAACCAAAAGAGAAAATATTCAAATTATTAGTCGAGTCATTTCTTAGTCACATTTTCACTATGATTAATTCGCAACCTCATGTCTCCGTATTCTACCACAGGTCTAAACTATACAGCCAAGTTTAGAATTTCCTAACGGCTTGAAACTAGATTTCTTTCTGAAACGACGGAACTTGGCTTGGATACCAAGGTGCAATGCAAAATGTGTTCGCTGAAAGAAAATGCTGAAACGTACGATGTCAACATGCTGAATTCGTTATTCCGTGCGATAAATTAAGATCTCGGATGAATTTCACATATTGTTTGACAGTGGAAACACCAGAATGGGAGTTTAAATACTTTCACAAGTCTTTTCTCATAGAAGTGATGAGAATTTTTTTAAAATTATAAATCCCTTTTATAATAAATAATCAATCAACTATTTTTTTGTGTAGTGAAAATTTAATCAATGAATTTATTACGAGAAATATTATTAAAAATTAAATTTAGATGAAGATATGCTGGTGCAAGTATAGACTTTAAATGGATTAATATAAAATATAAAAATATATAATTTGTAATATTTATGAATTATAAATTAATTAACTTAATTCATGCTTTTTTTAGGAAGAATGACAAATGAGGATATTGTAAGAACATTAATGTTAAATTAAAATCTTTTAACACCAACGTTTCCAAATTTTAGTACTCATTCTATCATATTTCACAACTAAAATTTTTAATTTAACATTAATATCCTTATAAAGTCCTTAATTGTCATTCTTCCTTTATTTTTTTTTTGGCCCAATGAAAATTGTGTTCAAAAGAACAAGCTAGTGTTAAAGATTATTTTTATTCTTGAATTATACACAAAAGGTCACAAATGTTCCTAAGCTTAGCTATGGGTCAATTCTATATCTCAATTTTAAATATTTTTTCTATAATTATCTTGCCGTTTCATCATCATTAATTGATCTAGTGAACCTCGTATTATATTTTTAATATTTTTGTTATAAAATATTAGAATTAAAAGGTAAAAATATCCTTAATTTAATAAAAAAATTTAAAAATAATGGGATTCATAAATGACTAACTAATATTAAATATTTTTAATATTAGAGAGACGATGAGATGAATCTTTTATAATTGAGGAATAAAATTCACTCGGAATATTTGTGATTTTTGGGATACCCTTGACTCAATAAAATAAATGTATAATAAAGTAACTATCAACTTCAGCTAATATGCAATTGACTATAGCATGTCGATGTGACAGGACCAGGAGACGTGCAAACAACACCACCACATTTTAGCTCAAGAATTACTACCTCCTGTCTCATTTATAAGTCCCATTTTAAAAGGTATATTTGATTTCATTTATAAGTCATGATGTATTTTTTTAGATAATATTTGAGAGGTATTTCTAAAATTACCTTTCATGAGAAAGAAAAAAGTAACAGGACATTACTTTTTAGATTTGTTATATAGGGGTATGTTTAGAATTTTACTTATTTTTATTCCTTGTACTTTTATTGTATTGATATTGATGAGGTTAGTAGAAATGACTTATAAATAGGACCGGAGGGAGTATTATTTTATGCCGACATATCTCAGCTTGTGATGCCTACAGAAATTACATTCAAGGGCCCTAGTTTTAAGGGAAATTAATTTATAGTGGAAGTTTCAAAACTTTAAATTATTTTTTATATTCGGCTTTACACTGCTTATTTCCAATAATAAAAAAAAAACAGAGATTGCACTGCTAATTATAAGATTATCATCATAAGATTTACATGCTTATTGCTACCACTTTATATATATATATATATATATATATATAATATTATGAGTTTGTAACTTTGTATATATAAAATATTAAGGGAAATTAGTTTGTCAATCCCTATAATTTTTCCTAATTTTTAGTGAGGTCCATGTAATTTTTTTATCGAGTCCCTATCGTTTCCTCAGTTATAAGAGTTAATCCTTAAAAAGCAATTAAAATTGCCACATAGACTTAGTTTTTTTAAAAAATAAAGAAGAAAGAACAATGAGAGATTAATTGAAACTGAGATATGGTAGGGTGGCTCACACTTTTAGGATTCTGGGTGAGAAAGGAGAGTGAATTAAAAGCTTTTGAATTGGTAACTTTCGAATGCATTGTCAAAGATTGAATTTTCGCCATCATAATTATTTTGTATTCTTTGATAAGTTTGCATGACTTGTAACATGAAGATTGAATTCTTATGTCATTGATTTCAAATTAAAAATCCTCTTGGTTTATGCTTTTAGTCATCTTTACACAACACCTTTATCAAAACAATTTTTTTAGCAAGCAAATCCACCTTGGGGAATGCTAATATTTTGATAAGCAAAGTCTACCTTGCAAAATTAATTTAGCCTATGATAATTCTGTAACAATATTTTTAAAATTAAATTGGACTGTGAATTAAAAACGTGAGCGAGTTATTGGTTTTTCTTAAAATTTTTAAGAATCATTGTGGTCAAAGCGAGATAACACGAATCAGTTGCTAAAATGGATTAAATGATTGAAGTAAATTGTTTTTTTCTTGACAACAATTCAACTATTTGAGCTAGTTTATGCATGAAACAGTGATCAGTAGGTCCCTGTTTGATGGTTTTGAGGAAGACGGGCTAAGACGTAATGGTAGTAGGTATGAGGATTTAATTAAAAAAAAAATATTCAAGGACCTACTTCAAAATAAGATAAAATTAGAAGGCTTGAAGGTTAATTTTCTCAAATATTGATACGAATAAAATTATATTATATTTAATATAAAATATAAGATCTATAAGACGTTGTACTATTTGTCAACCATTACTTAAATCCATGCACAGTGTAGAAGTATCAAGAATTCGCCAATCGTGAACCCGCGTGCCATTTTTACTGCAAGGATCCTGTTAAAAGGCCAGTGCCTTTTCTTCATGGAAGAAAAAGTAACACAGTATCCTCGCGCTAAACCAAGAGACCGAACAATGGCTTCTTCCTCTCCTTCCTCAAAGAAATACGATGTTTTCGTCAGCTTCAGAGGCGAAGACACGCGCGACAATTTCACCAGCCATCTTCATGCCGCTCTTTGCGGAAGCAAAATCGACACCTACGTCGATTACAGACTTGAGAAAGGAAGTGAGGTTTGGCCATCGCTTGTCCAAGCCATTGACGATTCGATCCTATTTCTGGTCATTTTTTCTGAGAACTATGCTTCTTCCACATGGTGCCTGAATGAGATCGCCAAAATTATTCTCGATTACTCTAAGGATCAGGAGCATCGTGTGCTTCCAGTCTTCTATAGGGTGAACCCTTCCCATGTACGGAAACAAACAGGGAGTTATGGAGAAGCATTTATAAAACACGAGCAAGGCAATCACAGTCAGCAAGTGCAAAAATGGAGGAGCGCTCTTACTCAAGCTGCTAATTTATCTGGTTGGGACTTTAGCACCTATAGGTATACATCAGACGTTGAGATCAGCCTTTCGTTCTTCTTTTTTATTCTTTATCTCACTAGCACGATTTTTAATTTCGTTGAAAATTAACGTTCCTACGCTATTTGTAGAGAATTAATGCGATTTCAAGCAAGTGATTACTATTCCGACATGAAAAGAATATTTTAACGTTGCAATTCCGACTGGGGCTTTTGAGTTTTATATGATCCCTTTCTTTCTCTCGTGGTCCAGGAATGAAGCTGAGCTGATTGTAGATATTGTCATATGTGTTTTAAAGAAGTTGGAGCGTATTCACCAAATTGACGCTTTTGTTGGTCTTGTTGGAATTCATGAACGAATTGTACCTGTAGAATTATTACTGAGTAAGGAGTCACAAGATGTTCGATTTATTGGAATTTGGGGCATGGCTGGAATTGGCAAGACAACTATTGCAGATGCTGTATTTAAGAAACATTGCTGTGATTATGAAGGGTTTTGCTTCTTGGCTAATGTAAGAGAAGAGTCAAAGAAGTGGGGAATTGCTTATTTGAAGAGTAAACTTCTTTTCAAGTTATTAGAGGATCAAGAACCTTACATTGGTATGCCTGATAGAGGAACTCCTTTGGATATGAAGAGGCTTAAAAGAAAAAAGGTTTTCGTTGTTCTTGATGATGTTAGTGACTCAGATCAACTAGAAATTTTAGCTGGAGCACGTGATTGGTTTGGACCAGGCAGTAGAATCATTATAACATCCAGAGATAAAAACGTGCTTGGTAAAGAGGTCCGTCATGTGCATGTGGTCAAGGCTTTGAACTTTGGTGAAGCTCTTCAACTTTTCAATTTGAATGCCTTTAAAAACAATGTCATTGACAAAGAGTTCGCCTTATTATCAAGGAAGGTGGTTCTTTATGCAAAAGGGCTCCCCTTAGCTCTGAAAATTTTGGGTTCATTTCTTTATGGAAAAAGCAAAAGTGAGTGGGAAAGTCAACTAGAAAAACTCAAAAGACTGCCTGACATGAAAATTCAAAATGTATTGAAATTAAGTTATGATGGATTAGATTTCCAAGAGAGAAACATTTTTTTAGATATTGCATGCTTTTTCAAGGGCAGAAAGGTAGAGGACATTAAAAATTTGTTAGATGCATGTGATTATGCAACAACTATCGGATTGAGAACTCTTGAGGACAAAGCTCTTCTAACTATTCTTGATGAGAAGGTATCCATGCATGATCTAATACAAGAAATGGCTTGGGAGATAGTTCGAGAAGAATCAATGGAAGAACCTGGAAAACGCAGTCGATTATGGGATTTTAATGATGTCTATGAAGTATTGAAATATAATGTGGTAAGAGTCAAATTTAACATCCTTTGGATTGACTTAATCTTTTTATTGGTGTGTGTGGGCTTTGTTTTATCCTTTTTTTTTTTTTTTTGCGTTCTAATTTTGCTTGCTAGGGAACTGAGTCCATCAAAGGCATTGCTTTGGATTTGTCAAAAATTGACGACCTGCCCTTAAGTCCTGAAGTCTTCTCCAAAATGCGCAAGCTTAAATTTCTTATATTTTATAATTTTGGTTCCGAAGAGTTCAGAATGTATCTACCTCAAGACCTTAGATGTTTACCAAATGAACTCAGACTTCTTCACTGGGATAACTTTCCTTTGAAGTCCTTACCGCCTACATTCTCCGCTGAGAAACTTGTGTCGTTTGAAATGCGAAATAGCCAAGTCAGGATACTTTGGCATGGAAAGCAAGTAAGTATATAAGCACCCACATTTTATCTTTTGTTGAGGCTATATGACGTGACATCTCTCTTTCTGTTTCACCTTTACAGAATCTTGTGAACTTGAGGAAAATAGACCTCACCGATTGCTATAATCTAATTGAGCTCCCAGATTTTTCAAAGGCCTCGAATCTTAAGCAAGTATATCTTAGCAAATGCACAAGCTTGCGTGACCTTCATCCATCTATTTTATCGCTGCATAAACTTGAGATTCTGGCATTGGATTGGTGTGAGGCCCTTACTAGCCTTAGATCTGATACGCCTTTAAGATCCCTTCGTGATCTTTCCCTCTATGACTGCTCAAGATTGAAGGTATTTTCAGTCACCTCACATAATATGAGGCATTTGAATCTAGCGGGGACTGCAGTGAGTGAATTGCCATCATCTATTACAAGTCAAGGAAGACTTGAAACGTTCTCTCTTATTGATGGTAGAAGCCTTGATACTCCAAGCAAGTCAGGTGATCTGATATCTCTTGGCGAGTTACATACCGGAGATAATTACATGCACCTTGATGCATCAAATCTGCGTTTCTTGTACGATGGTTTAAGATCTTTGGAAGCCTTGCCACGTGAGACTAGCATGTTTTCTTCATTAGAAGTCTTGTTAATTGTTGGAACTGAACTTAGAAACTTGCCTGCAAGCATCAAGCACCTTTTGAGGCTTAGATACATTCGCTTTGATTCATGCAAAAGACTTCAGTCTCTGCCGGATCTCCCTTCATCATTAGAACAATTAATAGCCATAGACTGCCCATCACTTGAGACTCTTAACTTCTCTTCGACAACTAGTCAACTATTGAAGGCAAACAAGATAAGCTTTGACTTCCAAAACTGTGCGAAGTTAGATGAACATTCATTCAAACTATTTGGATCGAATGTCATGGCTGAGATAATCAAATCTGTTCCAGCCATAGAGAAATGCAGTTTCTCGAACGGTAAGGTTGAGGTTATATACCCCGGAAGCAGAGTTCCAGAGTGGTTCCTGCATAAGACGACACAAGCTTCCGTTACTATTGATCTCTCTTCTGCTCTGGATTGTTCTGAGAATTGGGGTTTCATCTTCTGCATCATTGTTCCTGAGGCTCCGTCAATTGAATGGATTCGAATTGAATGTGGAGCCTGTTTGGAAATTAGTCGTGGAGAATGGGAAGAGACACACGAGTTCTATTCACTCTCTGCAAAGCATGTCAACTTCTCATCGGATCATGTTTTTCTTTACTATGATGAGAACTTCTGTTCTGAAATACATGAAACACTCAAAGAAAGTGTAGGAGATGTTCAGAACAACGTTCGTAAACCAAAGGTTTCGTTTAATTTCTGGGTTCATTTTGGTGGTGGGGACATTCATGAGAAGCAAGAGGGATGCTTGGATATAATAGGGTGTGGGGTGTGCTCAACATATGCATCAGAATATCGTGATTTCATTGAAAAAATGAACTTGCAATTACAGTCAAAAACTGATGCAATTGAAATGGGACATGGAAGCTCTCATGAGAACGAACAGAAACAGAAATCTGAGGAGGGAGTTGTCTTTCCATATCTTGCACGTGGAACCTGGAAGCATGGAACGAAGGGGTTGAAAGACTTCTTCGCATGATGTTTGATAGATCAGTCCAAGTCCTTTGCCTTTGCTATCTTTGTAACTGATTCTTCATTCTAGTTAGTCAGAAAACATGGTGTGTGTGAAGTGTGATGTGCGCACGAGACATTGTCAAAATTATCAGCTCTGTATATTAGCAGAGGACTTGTTCAATAATTTCAAAGCCTATAAGAGACGATCATAATTAGTGAAGTTGTGATGATTATAGTGAACATGCCCACAACATGTAATATAGGCAAGCATAAATATATAATTGAAGTACTGTACACTTGAACCAGATTATCTCGAGAGAAGCGAAAATGCAAATTTGGATATTGGATATTTAACTTTGGCATTTAGAGATTACAAAGCGACTCTCTTGCTTAATAAGCGAAAATGTAATAATATTACTTTTCACCAAAAAAATTTCTTTTTTTTTTTCCAAAAAAAAAAAATCAACTAATATGCACCAGCCTCCTTTTTGTTTTTTTTTTTTGTTTTTTTTTTTTGAAGCAAGAAGCAAACTTTATTAAAAACAAAATAAAAAAGGCACAACACTAAAGCTCAAGAAAAAAGTGATAATATTACCTGAGGCCCAAACATCGATCCACAAAAAAAAAAAAAAAAAAGAGAACGACGACAGAGCACAGACAGGATCAATCAGAGCACACAACCAACACAAAGAAGGAAGAAAACGACGACGACGACGACGAATAAAGACAACTATAACTGCAACAAGAAGGAAACCATCCAACCAACTGTTCTACGAAAATGCGAATGTAAAAGAAGTGAACCCAGTAAGTGAGCTGAAATAGGTGCCAATCTTCGATTAAGCTTCAATTAAAAACTCAACAAAAAAAAAATTAGAACGAATATCAAACTAAATTTGCTGTTAAAAGAACAGAACTAAATTTAATATCTGATTGAGTAGTTTTTTTCACCTTGGATTTTGTTACAGATATTTTAAATCCAAATCCCAGTTTATAATAAAATCAGCCAAAAAATATTTTAAAAAAATATGTCTATATTAGTTTTTTTGGGGTCTAAAAATGTATATTAGTTAACGTGATTTTCATTATTTTAATTTAAACTCTAAAGGGCATTTGTTTTTTAAAAATTCAAATCTTTAAAATTTTCATTGCCAAGTGAAGTGGTGAACCCCTTCTCAAAAAAGGATTAAAAAAAAAAAAACAACGATGGCGAGTTGTAGGGCTGCACAAAACTTAAAAACCCAACAGAATTGTACTTCGATCCAATCAAAAATCTGATGTTTTTTACGTAAAGGATTAAATTAAACAACCTCTAGTTTGGTCCTGTTTTGGCATAACTTGAAATTAAACGAGACCAAACTTGATCCAAAGAATTGAAGGATGGTCCCAATAATCTAGAACCTCTTTGGTTTTTTTTTTTTTTCTATGAAAAACAACAATTCATTTAAACCTGTTAAACTTAATTAAGATAAAAAAAATACTTATATCATATAAAATTTATCACAAAACATTAAAAATTAAATAATTTCATAGTAAGGGGAATGAAGTGAGATGCCACATTCAACAATCAGGTGTTAAGCTTTACACTCAACTATATTAAAAAATAAAAATAATTATAACTATATTTAAATAGTTTTATAGGACCAAACTGAATTAAGTAATCTAAAAGTTCGGTCACCTGTCCAGTTCAACCCAAAGATAAAGCCTTGTCTTGTTAGTCATTTTAGTTCTTTAACTCAATTTTTTCACAAGACTGAACTGGATTAAGTTTGCCTAGATCGGACAGGACGGCCAAACTTTTGCATAGCCATAGCGAGCTACAGTGAAAAAGAAACAAGCCCCAAGGTTCAAAAGAAATAAAAATAAATGTGACAACCAATCAGCTGATGATTACATTTATCAACTTATGGCTTATTAGTTTAACTTGCATTCATGGATTTAAGCATTTTTTGTTTGAAATTATAAACAGCCAATTTCAGTTGCATAAAACAAGGGATTTCTCTACTTTCTCTTGAGATTTGTAAAGATAATCTCCAATTTATTGGCTCTTCATCACATTAAAATAAAATACAATACAATAATAATTATGAAAGCCAATCAAATGATAAAAGTGGTCGGTAGATAAGCACATCAAACCACTATAGATAAATTGCGACCTTCCTTCTCCAAATCTCTCAAGCCAATTCAAAATGTGGTATATAATCTTCACCATAGGAACACAACCATGCCAAGCGCAAAAGATATAGACATAAGCAAGCTCCATCTCTGCCTATCTTGTCAAGCAAAGATGGCTATTGTCAAGTTATCCCCATCTTCTCCTTTTGTTGAAGAAGACATAAGGTGTGCAGATCCTGAATGCGTGAGCTTTTACATTCCAACAAAAGGAGGTCCATCTTCTGCCATGAATGAACTTGATGAGGCACAGCTTGACGTACTTGCTTTTCTGCACCTTCATGGGCATAAAGAAACAGAGAAGCTGAAAAAGATTTTAGCAATTCCAGTTGCCATGATGACTGAGGAACAACGTTCTTGTGCGAAGGAAGAAACCTGTAAGCTTATCCAGGAATTTGATAAGCGTTATCCAAACATTCCAATCATCGACAATAGCTGCAGCAGCAGCAGCAACAAAGGTTAATGAAGGTACTGCAGCTGGGCTTGGGGCTCTAAAGTCCTTTGTAATACCCAATTTTTTTAATTATATTTTTTTTGAATTATTGGATTTTACATAAAATAAAAAACACTTTGATATTTTAAAATGTTGAAACGGTGGAGTTTTCTATTTTTTAAGTTTTTTTAAAATACAATAAAATTGTATAATTTTGAAATTTTTGAAAAAATTGAAAAAAAAACAAAATTCTATCGTTTCAAGAATTTTTTGATAGTAAAGATTTTCTTATTTCATCTAAAAGCCAATGATTAAAAAAATGAAAAATAAAAATGAAAAATTGGGGACCTCAAGCCCCTCGTCCAACAACAACAATGGTTACTAAATACCTAAATATGGTCGATGCTTTCTGGCCAATAAAGTGGTTAATGCCTTGGCACTGTTTCTTGCTAGTCCTTAATTTCCAGTGTTTTGAGTTCAAGTCTTCTCGTATCAAACAGTCATGTTTCGATCATTATATACATTTATATATATGCTTTATGGAAGTGCAGTTTGGTAATCTGTTATACTTTGATTATCATCACTTTTTCGCACAAACTACTTAATCATGATATTCAAAGAAGAGCTTTTATGCTGATACGGTGTATGAACAAGTAATGTTTGAATATATATAAATAATTATTCATATATACATAATAAGATATCCAAGATTAATAAAAGCTAAATGTTTAAAAAATAAATTTATAACATACTATACTTTTTTTATTTAGTATAATATTAATAGCTTATTAACATTGAATGTGAAAAATAGAATAAACTGAGTTTTAAAAAACTGAATAACTTGTTAACATTGATTGATCTGTTCAAGTCAATCAATGTTTAAGAATTACCTAATCTCCCTATCTTCTTATCTTTTAATCTGTGTGATTTTTTTTTTGGTCATAGATAATCGAGATTAATATTGAAAGGCACTTGGCTCAACTAATAAGGAGAGTTACATTGAGTTTATGGTTTTGGACATGCACTTGCAGTGAATAAATTAAATATGATAAATGCATTTTCAAGGTACCCGTGAGGCAATTATTAGTAATAATGGTTCTTACACAGTGAGAGTTCATTTTACTCTAGGTGGGATAGTGGTGATTGGTAATATTTCATGTTTCCCAATATACCAATTGATGGAATAAAAAAAAAACAGAGAGAGAGAGGCAAGATTAATAATTAAGCGAGTAGTTAAAGCAATAAAGATAGTCAGGGGCGGAACCAACTTCCAATTCTGAGGGGGGCCAAATGCTTAGTGAAAAACGACACAAGATTTAATTAAAGATATTGTAAATTATATAATAATACATAAAAAGTTAGCTTGTCTTCTTAGATAAAAAAAGCTTTACCCTTCTCTCCTTCATGTCATTAAAATCATTTACAAAAAATTTTATATCAAACTTTTTAATAATTTTTTTTTTCAATATACAAAAGCAAAGAATCAGAAAGGTATCCCTCATCCATCTTGTTGAGAAGCATGGTTATAATAATGCTCATAGTTAAAAAAAATTGCTCTATTATAGCTGTAGAAACTGAAAGAGTGAGAATCAAAGTTACAACTCTATATATCAAGAGGATATATTTTTGATTTTTTTTGTTTTCACCAACCATTGACATAAATCAGAAATGGTAACCAATGTTTGAAAATCAGGAGGTTGTAGGCCATGGCCAAAATGCTCAAATTGTATTTTTAATTGTAGCATTTCATGTGCCAAAAAATTCTATGGATAGAACTTTTCTACCATCTTGCAAATATCATCAATTTTAAATAATATGCAAATTTTCCTTGGATCCAAAGCTGAGCTAAGAATAAGCAACTCCACCACATCATCATTAAATTTGTTATTCAATTCTTGCAATTGAGAGTTTATCATTGCATTGAAGATGTCAACTTTATAATGATACCCTATTATAAATTCATCTTGTTGATGGCGAGCCCTTCCTCTTTTACCAATATAATGAGCATCAAAATCAAGAACAAGAATATTGACTAATTCACAAAAAGATTTTATCTTTACAACTAATTCTTTCCATCCATCATCTCTTAATTTCTGAATAAGAAGCTTAGTAGATTAAACAAAATGTATTGCATTCACAATATCTTGAGATTGAAGTTGCAGAGCTTGACAAAGCAAATTAGAAATCTCTAAAATTTCTTTCATAAGATGCATGATAAAAACAAACTCAAAGGAAATTAGATCTCATAAGCTACATCTGCATCTACATGCTGAGTTGCAGTAGTTCCATCCTCAATTTTGTTTATCAAAACTTCACATGTAGCACTAAACATTTTCATCAAGCTTGAAATAGATTTCAAATGAGAACTCCAATGAGTATCCCCAACCCTTTTGTAAAGAACCAATTTGATTAAGCCCTCTTCCACTTTCAAGCTCATTAATCTCAAGCAAATAGGCAATATTTTCAGCATGAGCATTTTTTAATTGATCATTGCGCTTACAAGAGGCACAAACAATATTAATAATAGTACCCAATGAAGAAAAAAAAATTGATGGATAGGAATAACTTCTTTAGATACAGCAACCAATGCTAATTGCAAACGATGTGCCATACAATGTACATAATATGTAT